GACACATTCATTCTATATTCAAAATGCTAGTGAAAAGAGTAAGTGAAGCCTTGAGTTAACCTCAGAGCTACTCAGGGTCAGGCTAACCTGGAGTCTTGCTAAGAAAATGAGTTTGGAGGTGTGGACTAGAGCTACATTGACTGAAAAAACACTTAACCTTTTTGAGTTTGCTCTGCACAAGAAGTATGCTTATGTGAGCCATGCCTTTCCAAAAAGAACTTTCAGAGGATCTATTATCAAGAATTGTTGATTTACATAAAGCTGGAAAGGGTTATAAAGTGATTTCAAAGACCTTGGAATTTCACCAGTCTACAGTCAGGCAAATGATCTACAAATGGAGACACTTTGGGATTGCGGCTGCCCTACCAAGAAGCGGGCACCCAGTCAAAATGACCCCAAGAACACAAGGAAGACTCATCAGTGAGGTAAAGAAACAACCCCGAGTGACAGCTGAAGAGTTGAAGGTATCATTGGAACTGGCTGACATCCGTGTTCATGAGTCTGCAGTACGTCAAACACTGACCAAGCAGGGTGGCTGTGGCAGGACACCACGAAGGAAGCCGCTGCTTACTACACAGAACATTGCTGCATGCCTGAAGTTTGGCAAAAGAGCACATTGACACATCTGCTTTGCTGCATCAGGCCTGGCCAGGCTGCAGTCGTTGAGGGGAAGATGAATTCCCAAGTGTACCAAAAAATTCTTCAGGCTTATGTGAGAATGTCTGTACATCAGCTGAAACTTTCTATATGTTGGGTGATGCAACAGGACAATGACCCAAAACACTGGAGCAAGTTGGCAACAGAACGGCTTCAGAAAAACTAAATCCGCCTTTTGGAGTGGCCACATCAGAGCCCAGACCTCGGCCCAACAGAGATGCTCTGGAATGACTTGAGGAGAGCCGTACACGAGACATCCGAAATATATGACAGAGCTAAAGCCGTTCTGCCAGGAAGAATGGGCTAAAATCCCTCCTGAAAGATGTGAAGCTGTGATCTACAGCTACAGGAAGCACCTGGCTGAGATTATTGCTTCCAAGGAGGGGTCAGCCAGTTATTGATTCCAAGGGTTCCCTTAGTTTTACCACTAACATTTTGCACGTTTAATGAGTGTGTTCAACAAAGACATGGAGGATCAGAATTGGTTTTGTGTTATTAATTTTAAGCGCATTATATTTGTCAATACTTCTGACTTAGATGACATTAGATCACATTTTATGACACATTAATGCAGAACAATGGAATTCCAAAAGGTTCACACACTTTTTCTTGCAACTGTATTAGTGGTATGTAGTGATTTTAGACTAGGAACAACCCTCAGCCCAAGTAACAATTATCTTCTCAAAGCCCTGGAGAAACTTTCCCTTGCGTGACCAAACATTTCTCAGGAGCGAGAACAGCTTTCTGCTTTTCATCTCCATTTTCCTCTTCTTTTGCCTATGTAAGTCCAACAGCACCTTCCCAGCAGAGCAGAACCTTCTCCTACCAACATTTAACTTCCCTGCAACATTCAAAGTGCAGCAGGCAGAGTCTTCTGGGGCTTTGCTCCCCCCTACCTTGTCCCATCCCTTACCCACCTTCATGCTCCCCTCCAAACCCACCCTTACCTGGAAGTATCACAGGAGGAAATGGAGGAGACTGAGGTGAGTGCTGGTCCTGAACTGATTAATATGCTTTAGGCATAAGGCTAAGGGAGGTAGATATCAGTACTTCAGAGACCAAACCCTATTGCAAGGTCTAGAGAAAAAGAGAACTGGCATCAGTGCATGGTAGTTCTTTTTTTTTTTTTTTTAATTTTTGTGAGGAGGAGGGTTTTCTGTGCTTACTGGTGGGCTGACATAGCCTTACAGCTTTAGCCTGCCTTCAGACCACAGCTGGGACAAGCCAACGACTGAATAATTGCAAAGCCTGAGAGAAAATGGTGGGACTAATCTGAGCAAAGGCCAGGTAGCCCTTCCTTCTCTTTCAGCAAGCTGTAGTACTCGCATACAGCTTGTACCTCTAAAAAAAAGTGGTGCAGCAGAGGCAGAAGCGGCACCAAACACTCCTGCTCTTTTCATGCATACTTGCTTTCATTCTTCCACCTGAGACTGCAGCTTAAGGAGAAAGGGGTTTTCCCCTCCCGCCCTAGTTCCTAACACCGCTCTGTGCCACATCCCAGAGATCTGTCACTCCATATAGCGACCCCTTGACAAGTAGAGGGATTACAACCTTATCCTCTAACCTTCAAAGTAACACAAAGACCGGCAAATAGTGCTGTGACGGTGTTTCCTTGAGAAACTGAGACAAGATGTGCCCAAGGGACAGAAATTTCTTTTATTAAAAGTATTCTAAAAGGTTATTTATAAAATACATTTCAGCATCTGCACTTGGAAACAATTCAGGAACGTACAACTGGTGAGGCATCTTTGACTTTCAGAACTTCAACTCACAAACTTCAGCTATGTAAATTATACACACCTCATGCCACAGGTGACCACAATCAGATTTCAAGGATTCATAGAAATATTTCAGCCTCCAAATACTAATTTGTTTGAAGAGAGATTTTGGCAAGCAGTACATGTGCATACCAGGAAATAGCCACTTCGTACAGTGGATTCATCTCAATAGTTTCTGCTAAAATACAGTATTAAAATCAAAAGATACAAAATAAATAATTTTTCTGAAATCAAGTTATTTAATAAATAAGGATGCATTGTGAGATATCCAATGTACAGTAACTTCTCAAAAACCCCCAAACTGTACAGAACTCTGAATAAATACCCTTCTGTTATTTTTTTTTAACAAGTAAACATCTTACCCTTCCCTTACACATCCTAGATTAACACTGAAGGAGATTTAACTCCACAGGGAGATTCACTCCAGAGTGGAGGAGCATGCAAAAGAAAAAAAGTACTTTGTTTATTTGCATTGAGTTTAATAGTTTAGTTACTCACACACTCCTACCTAGCTTGTCCCAAAATTGCAAAAAACTTTTACTGGTTTAACCTCACTGTGATGCGGCTCTATTTTTATGCAGGTTTGCTCGTTTTACATAGTACATTAAAAAAAAGAGACATTAAAGACCTACTTGTAACTCCAGTAGACTTTGAGATGAATTTACAGCAGGGCAGAAGGAAAAGCCACAACGATTCTAAAGCCATTGGAATATATGTTTGAAAAAAATACGTAATTTGTGCCTGCAAAGCAAAGGCCCCAAACAGCAACTGCGTATGAGAACTGTACTGTATATTGGCATTCATCCACGTTTTCACTGAAGAGGCACTTCTTTCACCACAGGAGTTCCAGTTACTGGAAGTTCCACACAGACTTAGACAGAGTCACTTTCAAAGAGGTACAAGGAAAGAAAAACCTCAAATGAAAACAAATACTTTGGTTTTCAACTCAGGGAAATTTAACAGACATTGGGAACGCTCCATGAAATTAAACAATGCTGATGGAATGAAACCTAGCATGGAATGGTTGTGTGCAACTATTACTCAGTTTAAAAGGTTTCTAACTGGATTACTTCCAAAATGTATTTGGACAACAGCTATGCAAACAGCTGAATCAGCACAACTGCTTTAGGGCAGTGCCATAAATCAGGCCTACTGCCAGGAGAATAATAAGGCTACTTTAATATAGTCATAGGTTAAACAATAAATCTAAACCCCACGCTTTATCTTGGCAAGCTTAATACAAAAAAATTATTCCAAAGAATACAAGCAAATGCTTAGAACCAACCACCTATTACTAGAGCTTACCTGATTAAAACTGGGTTGCTGGATGTTAAGCCCAGTCTTAGCTGAATGCAGTGTTTTCATTGTAGGAAGTTCACATAGACAAAAGAACTCAGCTAGCCTTTAACTATTGACTTAACCCTCCAAAGAGAGTGGAACTGTCACCAATTTATTTTTTTCCAGAAAGTTTTTTTTTCTCTTCATGCATTTGCTGTACAGCTGGGTAGCAAATTATGTGCCTAAAATCAAGTCCTAAAAAGCTCTACCTCAAATCCTGAGTTACACACATGGCTTCCTTTCCAAAAGAAGTTACCATCTCTGATCTAGGTTCAGTTTTGAGCATGAATATGACAAAACTTAAAATCAGAGATACAAGCTAAAAAGTACAAAATAATTGGGTGAATTTTCATTCACTAAGACTATAGGAACTAGACTTCATCCAGGCAATCCCTTCTGTCCCACACTTTCTCCCCAAGAACAGCATAGCTTGAGGTACTCCAGGAGAAAGATGTCACACACTTGTAGATGTGCAATAATGGGATTCATGTTGGTCAAGTTCAAGGGAAGATACACAAGTGTGGCTTTAAGATACATGGAATTACCACAGTTTTCAAATAAGGCAGGGGGAGGTATAAATAGTTGGCAATATGCCCTTGTTCTCCGTGGAGAACATCAGTGGTATGACAGCAGCACCTGCATGTTAACCATCGAAACCAGATGAGGAAGTAAGCCCTTGGAGACATACAACGGAACTCTGCATTGGCAAGAGCGAAGTTTCTTAATACAGTTTGGCTGAAATATGAGACCATTTCCCATATAGCCTCAGCAATACCATTATGCTGTTATAAACAGCAGAATAATCAAGTGAATGCATGTCTCATTCAAGCTGCAACATGCCTTGTAAGAAAGGTGCTTAAATGCTCAAATTAAAATAAATAAATTTAAGCTCAACACTGCTAGTGCTGTGTGCATTAACACTGTTTCACATTCTTTCAAAGTAAATATATTTGACCTGGGAAGACCTACAGTACCATACCACACTATCTCTAACCTTTGGTCATACTCCCTTTATATTTTAAACATACACCTCTTTAGGATTTGCTAATAAAATTTAGCAAGAAAACGTGGGAGTGTCATCACTAGGATTTTTACCCAATATCCAATCTACAAGCAAATACAGGACATTTCAGAACTTAAAAAAAATCCCTCATACCCTTAAAGTAAAATCTAGCTTTAACATAGTTAGGTGTCTGGAAACACTTAACTGGAACAGAATAAAAACCAAATATAACACAGCTAAGATTAGGCTCTACTGCCAGTCAGATAAGTATGCACCATCAGAGTACACTTTTGGAGAGGTGGAATGCAATGAGGAGGAGTTTCTTTTCAGTTGAAGTTAGTCTTCCGTAAATGCTTATTAGGAATTTCTATAGCGCTGACTTGAAGAGGCCAGGATCCACCAACAATTCCTGCTTGGATAGCTACACCCATTACCACTGCTAGATCGGGATCTACAGAGGTGTTAGGTTCCTTTCCAAAGAAATCCCGAATAACTTTGCGTATCTGAGGAATCCGAGTGGAACCTCCAACTAACACAATTTCATCCACTTCTGCTTTGTGTAGGTGGCCTTCCTTCAACACTTGTTCAATGGGCACAAGAATCTTCTCAAAAAGGTCCTCATTTAACATCTCAAATAGCTTCCTAGAGATCTCTGTTTCAAACACAACTTTGACAAAGTTGTTCTCTACTTCTGAAGCATCTCCAAGATTTGTCAGGTCTTCTGTTTTTTGTGACGGCTTCCCTTGAAGAACAGTGTTTGCATTTACCTCACTTTCTTGAGGTTCTTCTGTAAGCTTCCTTTCTGGCATAGTCAACAACACCCTTAGCGTAGCGGCCTCCTGAACAGTCAGATTTAACTTAACCGCTTCCACAGCCTGTCTGAGGCGATGTATTTCTTCTTTTCTTGTTGGCAGAGAACCGTACCTTTGGTGGAGCTGATCATATAAATACAGCATCAACCTCTGATTAAAATCCTGCCCGCCGAGTTTGTTGTTACCTGAAACATCAGAAGAGAAGGCATGAGACATATCGCCTTCAAAGCTTCCAAAACCAGCACGCATCTTCTCTTTTACTGGGAGATCGTCCTCAAGGGCCACAACAGTGATGCTAGGACCATGGCATAGAACAAGAACTCACAGAGCTGCCAAAATAGACATTCTTGTTGTTCACTTAAGAACACATGACGTATAGTAACTTCCATATTTTATTTAGCAACTATTTTAGAATCTAACCCCCTCAATGCTTCCCCCCGCCGGAACTGCTCGCTTGCTGTGCTATAAGGGAAAAAAGCAGTGGTGGTTAACTCAGAGGTGTTCTCTATAGAAGAAAACATGTAATGATAAATTTCTAGCTGGAACCCTGTAACAGAAGTGCAATCTCTCACAGCAAATTGTTTTTCCAGTTTCAAATTTCTCTCTCTCTGCCCAGAATAGATTCTTCTCTTAGCACTTCCACAGTACAGCTTTATCGAGATTAATTTTTTCAGCAGTTTCAAGTTATTCAATGTCTTCACGCATTCACACAAAAAAAGAAGCAGCGAACTTCAGGTTCTATTAATGAGTATATCTTATCTGAGCCTTCAGAGAGAAAGGGAAAAAAAAGTATAATATATAACCAGTTTCTACCAAAGGAATATTCTTGCACCATGTTTTCAAAACCTGACAAATAATTATTCGTGCTTTCCACTCAATATTTTACAAAACGGTTTGCAGATTTTCATCTTGTTGAAGAATATTCTGAAAGCATCCATTGTTTTATTTTGGCTCAAAATAGACCTCTAACTAAATGGCAAACCCACTAATTAATAGTGGACCTTTATCTAAATTAATCAGAATAAAGCTGCTGAATATTTCTTGCTGTTCCACTCATGTGGACTGAGTGGCAGCTCCCATCAAAAAACTTGCTCACTGAAGGAAACAAAGACAGTGAGCACTGTGCCTCACACCTGTCTGAATCCAGGTCATCTGAAAAGCAGTTGGGTACACTACTACAGTTTTACTAAACGTTGCTGCCAGAACTCACTGCCAAGTGATGAATCACCCTGGCACACAGACATCACAACACTTCCTGCTGGGTAAACTGTGTGTGCATTCCCAAACCCTGCCCAACTGAGCTGAAGCCAAACATAAGGCGAGGATGCTCTGAAGCACTGGTCAAAAATTTTGCAATTGTTTCCAATTCGGGCAAAGGTAATGCGAAGTTTTTTTTTAACACCCCTAGCCCCCAAAAGTCCAGTTGAAGTAATTAACACACCAACACTTCACTAAGCTCCTCATTTAACATATCAAATAGTTTCCTAGAAATTTCTGTTTCAAACACAACAGCCATGGATAAAATGAAATTGGGACTTATTCCTTTGAGTCAGCCCAAACCTGTGAATTTATCTTAATTGTCGAGACCAGCCACAAAATTTTTTGCAAAAGGCAGCTGAGAATACATTCAGAGAATGCTTTGTGACAAGGCTGGTAACACTTTGAAAAGCCCCTTGAATGGTGCACCTTTCCCATCCACTCCTTGAGAAAGCAAATCATTTTTCTCACCTGCCATGGCTCGTGTGAGGAACATCCCTCCCTGCTTGTTCAACAGAGACACATCCAAAGTTCCTCCACCCAAATCCACCACTAGAACATGAAACACATCAGCTTTGTGGAGTCCGTAAGCCATAGCTGCAGCTGTGGGTTCATTGATTACACGCAAAATTTTTAGTCCTATGAAAACAAAGATACCAAGTGACAGTCAGTTACACTTCAGAAAACTGCAATTCTCGCATCACAATATTTACCACTAGTTGCTTTTAGTTTCTTTTTTTTTTCCTAACCAAACCTACCTTAAGTAAAATGTCAGAGCTAAAAGAAATAATTTTCTAAGCAGTATTACTCACTGAACTCTTTGTTATTTAAGTCTTAAGTGGTACTAATTCAGTATCAGTGTTAAGTCATGAACCATGATTTGCCCAAACACATTTCTTTGAGAGAAACCTTGCCAAGAAGGCTTTTTTCACATTGTTTCTGTTTAAATTATTGCCCAAGGGTGCTATGTAAAGTCTCTCTGTTTGGAGATCACCAAAGTCTATTTTCCCTGAAGTAAAATTTACTTCTTCTAGCTATCTATATCTGCATTAGCCAGCGGCACCTGGCAGTAGCCAAGAGTTCTCTGGTGTTCCTAACAATTGTTAATGGGCTGGAAAAAAGAAATAATTCCATTCTAAGTGTCTCTATCACTGATTCACTGCTTCTGTATCCTCCCCCCAAGACTTTAGTGAAATAGACCTGAAGGTTTGCTAGAGAAACACTGAAATAAAGAGACATCACCTGCAAGGTTAGCTGCCTTAATGGTAGCATTCCGTTGTCTTTCGTCAAACTCCGCTGGCACAGAAATGACCGCCTTCGAAATGGGCATGCTGAGAGAGTCCTCGGCCATCCTCTTCAATTTCAGTAGCAGCTGAGAGCCAATGTGCTCTGGAGTGATGTGAAAGGTTTTATTAGTTGTCACAGAGAATTCAGCTGATCCGTTGTTGTTGAAAATCTAGGAGGAAAAAATAACATAACCAACAGGTGAGAAGTCTTTTTCTCATACTTTTTCACCCTGCTCCTGCCAAATGTTTTATTTGCATACAGTCTATTTATTACAGAAAAATACAAATGTGCTTTTGTCATTTCCTGAATCACTTTTGTTCCTCGACTATGTGTATTAAGCAAAACACGCCACTCAAGGGGTTTAAGTATATCCAAAGTAGTGATACTCACTGTGCCCAGGTAAGACACATTAAAAAAAAAAAAAAGTTAAGACCTCATAACTGTGTAATCAATTCCAACATCACATTCCAAGATGAAAGTAATGCTTTTTAATCATTAGGTTTACCCTACTGATAAAGCTTCCCACAGGTTCTTCTTTCTGAAAGGAAACAAACAGGTTGGTACCAGAACAGCTTCTCTTAACAACTGAAGAATTCAAAGACTGTTTACAGCACCTGAAAATCTCTCTTCAGCAAATACTACACTATGTTGAATTAACAGAATACTACTTTTTTAAAAGCAGCTTTCAAGATCTGCTGCTGGTGAAGTAAGTACTAGAAAAGTGCCAAGGAAAAAATGCACTGGGACTTTTTTTTTTTTTTTTAATTTCAGCATAAAAGTAAATTTTCAGTAGAGCACTGTTGGAATTTAAAGCTGAAATTTATACTTTCAGATAAGGGACTGAAAGGTTACCCAGAAACACATCTCGCAGCAAAGGACCATTATCAGCTCTCACGCTGTGGTACACAAACCATTCCCTTTGCCTCTGTTGGTTTTCAGGCATATCAGATTTAGCCAAATAAATCAAGGTCAAACAAGCTGGTCACCTACTACATGTTTCGAGTGTCCTATAGCTTACTGCTTGGAAAGAACTGAAAAAGATGGCTACTTACCTTAAAGGGATACCTGCTACTTTCACTTTTCAGTTCTTCTGAAGTGAATATTTTCCCAATGAATCTTTTTGCATCATATATGGTGTTCTGAGGATTTGAATCGGCCAGTTCTAGGCCGTCATATCCTACATACACATTTCCGTCTGTGAAAGAGACTATACTTGGTATGCTGCTGTGCCCATTTTCATCTGTAATCACCTTCACCTCCCCTGTTCCAGGAAGAAAGACACCAACAGAGCAGTAAGTTGTGCCAAGGTCGATCCCAATCACTTTCGGCGTAGGCATTGGTAAATATTGCTGGGCCAGATAGCCAGCTAACAAGAGTGCCAGAACAGCTGAACCTGAAACACAAATTTTACAAAAACAGGGTTAGAGTATCTACTGCTACAAACTTGGAAGTCAAGGCAAATTACATAGTATTACACCTCATGCAGTTTTATTTCATGCTCTGAAGCCTGTTTTGCTACTTAATTAGTTTTCATTTTCTTCAGATGTCACCAGCAAGTTCAGGTCTCTTAATTAAACAAGAAGTGGTTAGAAGAGATAAAAAATTCAGACATTAAATACTAAGCTGATGAAGGAAAGCCCAAGAGATACAACAAAGCCAGAAATAGCAGCACTCTGTAATAATGTTTTCTCTCTCTGCAAGGTAGTTCAAAAATATAGGCTAATTAATATTTTGGAGGGAATTGTCTATGAAAGACCCCTAAGGGACATCTAGTTAATAAGGCTGCATGAAGTCACAGCTTGCAATTCAAACATCTCCTCCAACTTCACTGGAAATCTAAAAATAAGGAAATGCAAAACTACACCAACTTCTCCTATTTCAGTCATAGCTCCCAAGGAGCATCTTCCCACCCCCTTAAATCTTTTCTGTGCTTTGAAACCAAAGTGTGGACTACTTTAAGTACAGAGTAGATGGTTTGGTGGTTTTTTTTTAATTTTACATACAATCAGGAACACAAAACTCACACAAATCTAGCACAAACCAGTGTCGTGAAGGAGAATAAAGAAGTACCAACAAACAAACCCTCAAGAAGAAATCTACACAGCTTAAATTTCAAAGCGTGGATAAGCTTTTTTTTTTTTTTTCCGCCAGCAGGGAAGGGTGGTCCGTTCTTTCTCACTAGTCTGTTTGCAGCACACCGAGGACTGCGGCTTTGCAAGCGGCAGCACACGCACTGAACACGCCGCAGGAAGCGACAAGGCCGGCAGAAACACTGCGAGAGCCCCGGCAAAACCGCGACGTCGCGCTCAGCGCCGGCCACCGAGGCC